ACTTTCCTTAAGAGAAGTATAATGCATGGTTAATTGCATTCAAAAATGGAAAATTGTAGAAAAAAAGGTATTAATCCTAAATAAGTGTGTAAATGAAAAGTGCGGGACAAATATTTTCAATGAGCTTCTAGAGAACGACATATGTATAAAAACTATTCTTTTATTGGAATAGATAAATGACATACGTATAAAAAACTATTTTTTGATTGGAATAGATATATCAAGGGGTGTTTAACAAAAAACTTTATTGTTTATTAGCTTATAACTTATCAACTTATTACTTTATAAGCTAATAAGTTAGAGGGAGTTAACTTCTGAAAAAATGGCTTATTAGCGGTTTGACATCGATATAAATTATTTTTATCCGAACACTTGTTAAGCTTATAGCGGTGAATCGATAATAAGCTAATAAGCTCATTTGCCAAACACCAAAGTTATGAAACTTCAATCATCTTACTTCTATTATTTATTGAAGACTAAAATGTCATAACATAAATGGTTAAAATATAAAATTTTATTTATATGTAAAGTAACCAAATAAATAAAAAGTTTGAATTTTATTCCACCTTTTTGACACCAAAAACTACAAAAGATTATAGCTTCATTTCTTTAGAAGTAATGTTGCACAATATCCCCTATATATCTAAAACGCTTACCACCACAATCTACATAACATAATCTTTAAAATCGACCAAAAAAGAAGCTCGATAAAATAAAATAAAATAAACCCATTCCATAAAACAAAGTTACAAATAGTTCACATCACAAAACCCTAGAAAATTACACGCCGACTGGCACCCGCTTGTACAGATTATTCGGCAACCGTGGTGTCGCCCTTGCCTCAATCGGGTGTTTCATGTAAGTAACCATCCCCGGATTCTCCGTCAAGTCAACTTCCTCCGGCATCATCCCTGCAGGTGGGGTCCACTCAAAATGATGCAAAAGATGCCCTAACATAGATGTCACCAAATTAATTGCCAGCTGTGCACCCGGGCACACCCTCCTACCGGCGCCAAACGGCAGTAGCCGGTAATCATGTCCTTTAACATCCACATCCTCCTCAAAGAACCTCTCTGGCCGAAACTCCTCCGGGTCCTTCCAGATGGCCGGGTCACGTGCTATGGCCCACACATTAACATGGACGATTGCTCCCTTTGGGACATCATACCCACCAAGCTTTACATTTGAATTGGCCTTGTGTGGGAGCATTAATGGGGTAGGTGGGTGTAATCTTAGGGCTTCTTTGGCTATTGATTGGAGGTATGGAAGCTTTGAGAAGTCGGTTTCTGACATGATTCGGTCGGTTCCGATTACACGGTCGAGCTCTTCTTGAGCCTTTTGTTGGACCCGTGGGTTCTTTACTAACTCCGCCATTGCCCATTCCACCGAGATCGAGGTCGTGTCCATTCCTGCCGTAATCATGTCCTGCTCAAAAGATTTGACAAATTAGTCGAAAGATTCAATAAAGATTATGGAAACTTACGGTTTGTTTGTTTGTTACGTTGGACAAGACATAACATGTGTGCATTAAACTTGGACCGACTAATGTCAATAAGACAAAATTTGCATTTTTGTCACACCTGAAAAGATGTAATAAGGTTGGACACTTGTTTTCGTTCTTTTGTCTATACAAAAGACAATAATACCCTTTTTAATCCTCATCATGAAAAAGTCCTAGAAAACATGTCCATATCCGGGCTACGCCCGGGTTGGACACTTTTTATAAAAGTTTTAATGATGAGAAAGAGAGTGGCATTCTTGCCTTTTGCGTAGACAACAAAACAAAAGCGAGTTGTTGTCCCAACTTATTCCATCTTTTTAGATGTGACAAAAATACAACTTTCGTCTTATTGACATTAGTTGCAGTCAAAGTTTAATGTACGCCAATCGCAATACAGCTTCTTCTTGTTCTGTCTTGTCTTGTCATGTGTAACAAACAGAGCTTATCAGATTAGATGGTAATTACATACCCAAAGAAGTCCGATAATCGTGTCGTCGCTAAGGTCGTACTTTTGTTGAAGTGTATGCAAAGCATCGATGAAATGCTCTTGGGTCCCACCGGTTTTCTTGCGTGCAATATCGTGTTCAGCCATGATGGCTTTTGTAAGTCGGTCTCTGCGTTGTTCATGTTTAGCAAGAATTTCGTTTTCACCTGCAAAGAACCAACGTAACCATGGAATATTCTCGGCCATGAAAACCTTGCCACCGATCTTGATCCCATTAGACACAATTCCTTTGAATTCTTGCCCTTGATCATCCATTCCACCTTCGGGAGTCACAAATCGCTTCCCAAATGTCAATCTTGTAATATTGTTGAACGCAACCGTTCCCAAATAACCCCTCAATGGTAAGGCTTTTCCACGCTTATCTGCACACAAATTCTCGATCATGAGCTAGGGTATTTACGTCTTTTGCAAAATCGAGTCCTATATCATCTTTATGAATCAGTCTTATTCTTGTTTCGTTTCGATTTTTGTTACATTAACATTTCATTCCAAATTGCACAATAAGAATATTCTCTACAGTCTTTACAAATATGGAATTATTTTTTAATATGAAAATAATAATGTGGAGCAAAATCTTCTACCCAACTCCACTAATATTTTTGGGGCCGGCTGGCAGGATTATGTCCCATCTGAAGTCAGTTTTACGTTTTTCAACATTAAATTACAATATTATTCTCATGAATTCAACATTAACTTATAAAGATATCCAAAAGTGAAATCTGTATAGTAGCAATAAAAGTTCCCAAAAAAGTATATGTTCTTTCTGGAAAAGAAATGATAGAAAATAGACTTTTAAATAAAACAAAAAACAATAATAAGGAATTAATACTTAATAGTCAAAGATAAAGATGGATTAATCCATCACCACCGATTGATACTTGTTCAACTTGAACTCTTGTTCTTCAATGGAAGGTTTAAGTTTAATTAATATTGACCAAAAGCGATGCGATTGATATGATGAATAATATGATAGAGTTATAGACTAGCCAATTTAACACAAAAAACATAGATCTAGATATGCATAAAGCAAACATGAACAATTGAAGAGAAATGAAACCAAATTGAACTGAATCAAGAAGAAAATCATACCAAGATCAGTAGAGTGTCTGAAAATGGATTCAACCATGGCAGTGACTTCATCTTCTCTGATAGGTCTCAGAGCTTCAAGTCTCTTAGGCGAAAACAGCTCCAAATTACACACTTTCCTGACCTTCACATAGTGAGGTCCGTAATCAGCCCAGATCAAATCCTTTCCACCTCTACTAAACGACATCGTCGCCCGATTCCTATGCCTATCAGCCAACTGCTGATCATTCTCCTTCAGCACCTCCTTAGCCAACTCCGAGCTGTTTACAATCACATTTAGCTTCGAATCTAAGTAGACGGAGAAGATCGGGCCATAAGTTCTCGCCCATTCGGCATAACACCTGAATTTAACCGGTTTGACGTCGTAGAGGTTTCCGACGATGGGAAGTGGGCGTGGGCCGGGAGGAAGGTTGAACCTGAGGCGTTGGTAGAGGGATGGTAGAAGGTAGAAGACGGTGGAGACGAAGAGGATGGCGGCGGCTAGCAGAAGCAGCACAGCCATGGTTGATGGTGGATGGTGGAGATTCAGTGGGATTGTGGGAGAAGGGGGTTTGGTTAGGTGGTGTATTTGTAATGAGGCTTTGGTTGACCGCGTGGTGGCGCTCTGGTCCACGTGAATGGTCAGAAATCTTGTAAACAAGGGGTGGGAAGTGGGTACTGGGTAGGTGGGGATTATGAATTTCTTCCGCAACCTACTACATACAAAAAGCAAAACGTTATTTATTTATTTGTTTTCTCAAATTGAAGGATATATATATATATATATATATATATATATATATATATATATATATATATATATATATATATATATATATTAGCCGTTTACCCGCAACAAGTGACGGGTGCGAATAGTTTCTACAGACGATTAATTCTTTTACGCAAATAGTTTACTACATCTAAACAATTATCAAGCGACGGGTACAAATAGTTTTTTCATAACTTAGTTTCATATGTTGGATTTATTGTGTCGAAAATAGATCTTTTCTATTTCATGATAACATATTTGATTTCGGAGAACAAAAAATGTATTATAAATATCTTAGTCCAAAACCCTAAAGTCTATCATCTGCATTTATTCTATTATGTTATGTATTATAAATATCTAAGTCCAAAATAAATCATTTATTGTGTTATGTTACGACAATGTCCAAAACCCTAAACTCTATCATCTGCATTTAAATGTAGGTTTATCATTTAAATGAAAATTTTATATTGGGCCTTAAATTGGCTGGATCAGATTCAGCTTCAGTTTCAGCTTCACGTTTCGGTTCTGGGTATCCGACTTTATTTTTCTGAAAAAAAAAATTTATTAGTGACAAATTTTATATTTCACTAAAGGTTAATTCTTTCTTTTAAATGTATATTTTGATTTATTTTTTAAAATTTGTTAACCAAATTATAAAATAGCAAATTATGTGTTTAGATTTACTTTTTGTTTTGACCATCTACGGTTAATATATTTATAAAAAATCAAGAAAATAAGATAAAAGCTATTTAATTACAAAAAAACAACACAGTAATAGTGAAATGGATATTAATACATATTATTTAGCGAAGACTTTTTAAAAACATTATATATAAACGTTCTATTTTGCATGTCACTCATTCATAATAAAGGGAAAAAAAATTATAACAAAATTCATATAAAAAGTGTTTACATAGAAATTCCAAAATCACACCATATATATTACAGTTCTTGTGTTATTTTTTTTTTACCTCTAATCTAATTCATATACTAAAGTAAAACATTATAGCTTGCATTAATGCTCTCTTTTAATCCAAATGAAGCCTAAAATGTAAAATAAAAGAAGGATAAAACGACATGAAAAAAAAAATCCATATCTTGTCAGCTCTCACAACAAAAAATGCATTTATATGCAATTCCAGAATCATACAAAATCAAACCTCATAAATACATTAGTACATACTATGAACAATCTATATTTCTAACTTGAAACATAGCAAAAAGAATTAAAAAAAACAAAAAAAAAAAAAACAAAAAGAACACCAAAAAGACAGAAATATTTTAGTCTGGAAGGAATAATGACATTTCTATAATGTATTGTAATGCTACAACTCAACGAAATTAAAGGAGGAACCAATTAGGGGCAAAAAGGTACATTCTAATATTCAAAAAACAAACAAATCAACTTCTTCCAACCTATCAAAAGCCCCACCAAGTGGTCCATCTTCCACTCCATAATCTTCATGAAAATTCAAAAGAAAATTTATAAAAACTTAGGAATCAAATTGTAAATTAAACAGTTAAATTATCTTGAAGTACTTAGGGTTGTTTTGGGTTCAAAATTACAAACACATTTATTTTCAAAAATGGTAATTTGATTCCCTCCGTAAAGTTGTTTTACATAGATTTTTTTTTTAAAATTAATTGAAAACCTTAATTATATAGTAATAGAACATCAAAATTCAAAGAAATGCCAATGAACATGTTAAATTAAAGCTCTTGTTTCTACCTGCTTAAGATTAGCTTCCACATTTACACGAATGTCCAGATTCTTAAGTGAGTTCAAGGAGAGACAAACGATAAACACAGTTATCTTATTATCACGACTTCAACATGTATGCATTTTCACACCATTACTCCTTTAATACACTCAAATCCATCATTTCCTCATTCTTGAACTACTACATGCAGATAATCCACAATAATCAGAGAAAACACATAATAGACCAAATCCATGAAAATTTATTATAGTACCCTTTTTGTCTCGTGAAATTGTGACACTTTATCTAATTGTCAAATTATATAAATTACCCATCCTAAAATGGGTCACAAAAGGTAAGCATTTCTTTCTAATCGCACTAACATTCAAACCCTTTGATTTACAACTTGAGGTTTAATAATGAAAATTAGAATATTTATTTCCTTGGTATGTATTCTAAAATCTGATATGGCTCCGCACACAAATCCTTGTTTCATGTTTATTGAAAAGGTATGGAAGATGTTTGGCGGATAATTAAACATTCAAGTCCATAGGGAATAAAATATAATACCTTTTCTTCTGTGTATCATTTCCTTATGAGCTACTTTCTTCAGTTCTTCAAGTTGTGGTTTTGCAAAATTTGGCTCCGGTCTTCATACTTTGGCAACTCTTCATTCTAGATCTCGTACACAAGCACCAAAAAGCGCTAATTTAAGCTTTGGAAATATTTAACAAGCTTCAAATATTTTTTTAAAAAACAGGAAAATTAGCTTATTTATGATTTATTTTAGCAAACTCTGGCATCGATGGGGCCATCCCATTATTTATATTTCTCATAAGTAGCTTCTTAAGTCATTTCTCGAGTGCATTCATCATCGTACCCTCCATATCCACTTGATCCACACAAACTCCTATAAATTAAAGTATGCAATAAACATTAATAAGATATTTTAAACATCAACGCAGGTAAAACTACAATTTCCAAAATGGTAAGGGTCGAAATGATAATATAAGTAAAAAAAATACATCAAGAATGTAAATGAGGCAATACATGACAAACCACAAAGTAATTAGCAATAAAGAGAAAAGAGACACACTCGTACTGCTCCAATAAGAAAAAGGCATACAAAAATTTGTAAATCAGCCCGATTTAGTTGATCGTCACAGTAAAAACAGATAGATGAAATTAAGAAAACCTTGTTATGCCTTTTTGTGTTTTCCTGCAAGTACCCCCTCTTTAACATCAGGTAAGTCGCAATGATCCTCATCATCAGTAAGCTCCCTCCATAAGCATCACACTGAAATAAAATCTTCAACAAAAAACAAAAGATGGGGGTTTTATGTACAGAGAGAGGAAATGAAAAAGTAAACACAAATTTGTATCCCTATGTTCTTTCTTGTAAATCCTTCTCGAATGAACTAACGATTTGGGTTTTATCTAAACACGAATCTGGATCGTTGAAAGAGAGGTGAACCTTCTCGATTTCTAGATTTGTTCTTGTACATATTTACCTCAAATCGAACCCACAACTGGAACTATGTTCTAGGAGTATCGATGTGGAATGAAAGAGAGAGATGTGAGAAAAAACAAAAGATGGTTATGGAGGTGTAGATAGGGTGTGTGGCAGTGAATGACATGTGTGACTATGGTCAATTGACGACAATAGAGAGTGGTGGTGGGATGGTAGATGAGTTTAGCGTTTGCTGAGAAAAGGAAGCGTATTCTAAAAAAGCCTCAAATTTCGAAAATTAAACGGGGTCCAGGAAGAGGATGTATCTTAGTGAATGTGTGTATATGTGAGTGTGGGACAAACAGGCTGCAAATGAATACATCAAACCCACATGTAGAACAGAGTCTGCAAATTTGGGGAGAAAGACGATGGAACATATAAAGATGGGTCTGATTATAAGCCCTAAAATCGATGGCCATGGTAAGGAGCAAAATGTCGGCATTGAGTTGTAGACGGTGATAGTGGTGGCTAGCAAGTTCACATCTTTTAGACCATGAAACAACATATATGATATTTTACCCTACGAAGATGGTCCGATATTCTATGGTTTCTAAGGTTTAGATTTGGGGTGTCTTCGGTTTCTTAGAGAGAACAGGGTGGTGCGCGGTGGTGACTGTAATAAAAGAAGATAAGAGAAAGAAAGAAGGTGAAATAGAGATTATGTGAAATCTTACCTGAGGGCGGTGACTGGAAAAGAAAAGACTGTGGTAATGGCGCTGTTGACTTCATTGGATTCCTAAAAATCCATTTAAAACATAAATCAGAAAGATATTAAATCGATAAAAACTGATGATGGTGGTGTAGACGACGGTGTGTGGTGGTGGAAGTCACCGGTTAGGGAAGAAAGAGGCGGTGGTGTTAACTGATCATAGAGATGAAGGGGGAGAACAACATTCGTGTTTGGAGGGAAAATATGTGAGAGAGAGAGAGAGAGTGTGTGTGTGTGTGTGTGTGTGTGAGTGGTCATCATTTAAGGAGATTGGGGTATAGATCATGGTGGCGGTTGTGGAAGCCTGTAACAGTGGCGATGAGTGGTTGTAGTAGAGGCTGAGTTATGGGTGGCGTATTTTAGGTTTCATGAAGACCGATGAGAGTGGGATGAAAGATAAAGTGGAAATGCTTTATAACTTGTATAGGGGCTAGACCGATTCAATCGGATATCCGTATTTGACCCATTCAAAATTTTATCATTTTATTTGACTTTTTCAAATGTTAACCGATTCATGATTTTTTAAAGCATAAAGTTATTGTACATATTGTAGAAGAGGTTGTACCTCTTAAAATTAAGCATTTTAGGGTAAATGCTTATTAAAGTAATAAGATATATATATATATATATATATATATATATATATATATATATATATATATATATTGTCTCGGAGAAGTACATTTGTTATGTTTTTTTCTTTCGCTAAGCAATTTAACATATGCCGAATATGCCCCCACCTTGCTTATCTTTAATGTATCACCATCATAAAAATATGATAAAACTGCAAAAATGATCCCTGTGGTATGTATTTTTTTGGGGTTTTAGTCCAAACCCCGACTTTTTTGGCTTTGTGGTCCTTTTGGCCATGTTTGTACGTAAATTTGGTCCCTCGTAAAATTGAAATGACTGTAATGCCCTTCTGATATATTTTTTATGTTTTTTCTACTTAATTTAAATGAAAAAGAAAATAAATAATTAATTTGGGCCCAGCTCTCTCTCTCTCTCTCTCTCCTGGAAGCCATTCACACGGCATCACCTCCCAGTTTTGATTTAGGGAATTTAAGATCGCTTCAAGAAATCTAAATGCCAAATTGATGGCTTAAACAAACATTTGTGAAGCAAAATTACTGAAAATCAATGAACACAACTAAGAACTACATGCAGCATCAAAAGATCATTCAGACAAAAGATCAAACACTTGGTGGGCATCAACCACACACCCAAACACACAAAAAAAACCCACCTCCCCATTGTCATCTTCATCACATCCTGTTCCCACTTCCTTCTTCATTCCCACTTCCTTCTTCTTCTTCATTTCCGGCCACCGACTCCGGTAACAATTTTTTTTCCAGTCAAGAGTCTCCCAAACTTCTGTCAATAGGTTCTCAAAAACATCAGAGAACATTCTAACTGTTCTTACTTCCTTCTTTGAGTATTTACAAATGACAATACACCTACTAATGATTTAGGTTTAATTATTCATCATCTTCATCTGTCCCTGATGCTCCTCGTCACATGGTGGAGATCAAAGAGTGTGTCAGGTAGAAGAAGAAGAGAGGGTGGGGTTACTATCGTTTTTTCTCATTCTAACAAAGACTAAGTCGGAGGAGGAGAGGTCATTGTCTGAAATCTTCAAAACCCATCTCTTCATCTCCGACCCCCTGTACTCTTCTCATTCAGACCCGAAACCCAAAATCGAAGGGGAAAACAGATGGTTTTTGTAGCCTTTTACTCTAAACCAACAAAAATTCACGTATAAGGGTTGGAAAAAACAAAGCATACATGTAGATCTTCAACTTGTTTACATAAATTGATTTCACTCGTCATTGATGCAACCACCCTTTGGAGCTCCAAATCCTTGAGGTTTTTGTCCCTGAAATCATTCAACCAAGCTTACAATTTATCTTCTTCATCTTTAGAGTATTGATTTAACCACTCATTACTTTTAAACGCATCAATTTCACTTGTATAATAGCAGGTTCTAATCACAGTAGTGATGAACCTGTTGATGGTGAACTTGTAATTATACAATGTGTGGGGGTAGGATCAAACGTGCTATGGTGACAGAGGCTGAATCTGAGGGGCGATTCAGTGGTTTCCAGGAGCAGTTTGTCAATGTTGGTCGAAAGTGGTTTAGGGTTTTTCTTCAAAAGAGTGATTCTTTCTTGTTACGATCACAGAAAGAGGAATTATGTTCTTAATGCCAGGAGAGAGAGAGAGAGAAAGAGTGAGAGAGAGAGAGAGTGTGTGTGTGTGGGCCCCTTCTTATTTTATTAATTATTAAAATAAATAAATTAGTATTAGATTTAAAAAGAAATGAAAGAAAAATGGAAAATAAATACCCCAAGGGTATTACAGTCATTTCACTATTCAGAGGGACCAAAAACACAATGAAACTAGCTCAAAAGGACCACGAAACCAAAAAAGTTAAGGTTTGGACTAAAACCCCCAAAAAATGCATACCACAGGGACCATTTTTGCAATTTTGTCTAAAAATATCGAATTTGTTCTTTGAGAAAACCTTTTCTGTTTGTTTATAAGGCTTTCTTCAACCTCCGTCGACTTATGTTCCATGACAACAAGTTTATTTAAAGATGAAACCTGTAAAATTTGAATATGTTTCGATTTGTCGATGCAGCTTTTTAGGTAAATCACATTATACGATCCTCATATATAATCTGGGATGTAAACTCAACCCATTGGATTTTTTAGTTATTTAATCTCAACCGTTGAAGCTTTATGTGATGTATGCATTTGATTTTACACATTATCCAAATTTATGGGCGGACATCCGATCATGAAGTACTTGACAATATATATAAATGTCTTGTAAATTCTATTCTCTATTTTACGCCTAAAGCTAACCAACATGAGTTTCTATCGTCTACCTTTTGGAGCTTATTGCCTTTGGGAGCTTAATGCTTTTGACGAAAATATTCACACTTACCATTTGTATCTTAATTCCTAACAGTTGATTACTTCAAATCTATACTTGGATATTGTACCATCTATATAACTTAATTTAGCGAGTTTTCCGCCAGCTAATTATCTACATGTAAGTGTTTGAAACTTAGTGTCACTTGATCCATCTTTGTAACAAGAAAGCAACTTGTACATATGGTTTTAGCTCTACCTTTAAAGATTGTAACTTTTATAGTAGATCGTCAGTATTGTACCACCCCGATCGAGACCCCTACTCAGCCAGTCCGAATTACACCTTACTAGGTATTGTACCACCCCGATCGAGACCTACTCAGCCAGTCCGAATTACACCTTACTGTCACTTGATGCTAATTTCGATATGATCAAAACATAACCAATAAACACAAAAACATCATGATTGAACCATGGATCATTGTTCAACAATTAATAGCAATGAACTTTACTACAAGGGGAATTAGGAGAATGCTTTTTCTTTATGTCAAGAAAAATCCTAAAGACCCAAAATAGACTCTTTATATCAATGTCGCACCCTTTAGCAACAATAAAGGAAGACGGCCATTCCTTGGCTACCAAGTTGGAATCGCAAAAGCCTAAAAGGGTTATTCCTTTGTGTTTTGTGTCGTCAAAAGGATGGATGAGGGGAGAAGAGAGGGGTGAACGAATTTTAGCATGTTTTAGGGTTTCCTTAGTGCCATCCTATAGTCTTCCATGCCTTATATAAGGCACAAATACTAGGATCCTTTCATAGCCTCCAAGTTTGATCAAATTATGGTAATATTGCCATAATACAAACTTATGACTATTATTGCATAAATAGTCATTCTAATTACACTCTATTGATTTCATTGATAAATAAGTAAATAACAAATTAATCCCTCTTACTAATTAACTATTCTTGCTTTTTTGTTGAGCCAAGTGTGTAACCCAAATAGACTCATGTAACTAATATTGTGTCACTAACATGTTGTATCGGTGGACATATCTCCAATAGACTCCCACTTAAGTACTGAGATCTTGAAACCTAAAGTTTGATCCATTTGAATGTAAGTGATCAAATATCCTTTTGTTCTAGTCTGATAAATGTGTGAAACGAAAATCTTGTCAAACTCAGATGTTCAAGATTCTGGTTCTCACTAGAGACATGCGTTGACCCAAATGATAGACTGCTACCAAATGGTGGAAGGAATAAATCAACTTTGACTACATAAACTTAGTAGTAAAATATGGTACAATCTCTTACTCGACACTCTTCCAAGTTATCGCTCTCCCGTTCAATAAGAACATGAATCCTAACTGCAAACATGAATCGTCTTTATTAGTTTGGAAGTCTACATCATGTAACTCATTACACTGATTTCTTCCTTACTAGCCATGGATCAAGGATGTATTCAAACACTTTAGATTTCCCTTGACTGCTATCCTTTGGGCTTTTCTAGTATTTCAATGATATTGATTTTTTATGCCCAAACCATACTAGGGCTCATATATAATGCATATGATTAATCTTATAGTTGAAGCATAAAGGACTCAATTCATCCAATTTTATCAATGGAACTAAGACACCAAGCTTAACTCAGTATCAAGCCTTACCGCATAAAGATAAACTCCTTTTTGGAGTTTTAATTCTCTTTATATATCATCTATGTAATTTTCTAACTTAACATGTTTAATCATCCATATCTATCTCTATATATCTTTATATCTAAAGTGTATGTTGACTTTTCATGTATTTCATAAATCAATTTCCTATCCAAGATTTTACATTTTTAAAATAAGGGGTTAGAGTGTCAAACCCAACAAACGAAGGGGTACAATGTCACACCCCCGAACCAGACGGAGGAATCGTCCGGGGGCCTGTGCGTGACTTCATCTTGAAATATCATTACAATGAATATAAATGAAACGTAACATCATCATCACCACGCATAATATGATATAACTGTCATTGTTCACATCAAGTACAACATTTTAAATTACATGCCCATAACATTCAAATTAAGATGTTTAACAGTACACAAAATAAAATCCATATTCTTGTTGGTTCCTCCGCTTACCGAGTTCCTGAGAATATAAGTTATTTTGAAAACGGTCAACATAACAATATTGGTGAGGTCATAAGAGTATTTTAAATGAAAAGTTTTGTATAGATAGTACAACACCAGAAAATCCGATATTTTCTGCAAAAGAGTTTGAAAATGGTGTATCAAATCAAGTATTAATACATGTGTGGTTTCCATTATAGAAAATATGTAGGAATAAGTTCCTAAAACTCATGTTTGTTGTAAATCGAAGGCAGTGCGCAATGTATATTTTTCCTACAGAAAATCTGATATTTTCTGATTATAAAAGTAATGTAGTCTTAAAACCCTAAGACCAAGTATTAGTGTGTGTGTACGTTTTGTGTCGCCACGATTTGTATTTGTAATCCGTAATATTATGATGGTATTGATCTCTATGTGAGCCGTTACAACCATGCTTAATAATGACTAATTCGCCTATCACGGCGTGTCAGACGCCTGTTTGTCGAAGGTAAGGTTTGTCACCCTAGACTGGCCTAGTCTAGCTGTAGCGAACAGCTCAGGTGTGGGGTGTCACCCCGTATAGATCTATACACAAACTCCCGCTCTCCCTCCAGGAGACTCTAGTTATAACTACACGCTACGATCATACACTCGGAGGTGTCAACCGACAAGTCTCACTAGATCCTCAACTTGTTCACAAGCAATGTATTACAAGTATATTGTCTTACACTGTATAATGTTTTACGTGTATGTTTTAAGTTTTCAAATCCAAAGTATGTATTCGAATGTACGAGACCCAGTAACAGGTATATGGGCCACCAAGGCCCAATAATGTATAATGAATAATTCAGGCATTAATTAGCATGTATATGAGCCACTAATGCCCAATTAACCATGAAATGCTAAATTTTAGCCCAAAAAGCATGTATATGGGTCACTAAGACCCCATAGACATGAAATGAACATATTAGGCCCAACAAACATGTATATGGGCCACTAAGGCCCAAATGAACATGTAATGGATATATTAGGCCCATTATCTCGAAATTTACATTTATGGCCCAAATGTATATAAAATATTATTTTCAGCCCATTTTTATAAAGATTTGCATTTTTTCGACCCATTGTTGTAAGGATTTGCATTTTTAGTCCATTTTTAAATAAAAGGACATATTTGACTAAAGTTTTATAAATATGACATTTTTGGCCCATGATTATAAAAATTTACATTTTTATCTCACTTTTCATAAAAATTACACTTTTGGCCCAAACTTTGGAAAAATTTCATTTTTAATCCAAGAAACCGTATGTTTACATTTTTGGACTCAAACTTGAGTCAAATGATGATTTACTCCTTAAAATCGAGATTTTTACATTTTTGGCCCAATAAAATCGAAAAGCCCCATTCTTATGGCCCAATGTTTAAAAATTTGCATTTTTG